AAAGATAATACTAATATAGAAGTACAAGCTTTTGATTATTGGTCTTTAGACACCAAACAAGATGCATGGTTCACGGCATCTTCTTTTGATTTAGTATTTGAAACTTTATATTCTAAATCTAAATGGATTAAAATTTTTTCAGACAATGGCGCATATTATCACAACTCAGAAATGATGGCAATAGTTTCTAATTGGTATCAGTGGTACTCAGTTGAGATTAAAAGTTGGTACTTTTTTGAGCCTGGGGAAGCAAAATTATTGGTAAATTCTTATCATGCTGTGGTAAGAATATTTATTTATTAATTTTGTATATAAAACTTATTATTAATTATTATTAATAATAGATTTCATATACAATAGCTTGATATAATCAAATTGGATACAACCTTGATTTGAATAAAAAATTCAAACAGCTATTCAAGATCTTAGTAGAACTTCTGTTACAAATATTGAACTATTATGTAATCATGTAAATATTAAAACAATCAAACTAATATCAAAATATTTTTATTGGAAATGGCCAGTCATGAATGATCTTGCAGGATTTATTATAGCACAAGAATTACCTAATATTAAAGAATGAAAATTATTTTTATCAGAAAAAATTACAAAATTAGTTGAAAAAGATATTCATAAACCTAATCTATATGTATTTGATTATAGTAGCTCTAAAAAATCTTGGACTATTTCAATTCCTTAAAAAGAAGGTAAACCATAAAGATATATATATCTTCTTTGATTAAGAGAATTAAATTAATCTAATTATTTGATTTTATAGAAGTACATTTAGTAAATTCTAATAACAAAAGTAAGTGTAAATTATTTGAGTATAAATCAAATAAATAATATAACATACTTTAATAAAAATATTTTACTTTTCTAATTTTTAATTTATCAACCTATTTTATATAGATGTTAAAAAATATAATAGTTTATATCCTTTATCATTAGGTTGAGTTTTACGAAGTAATCAAAAATTAGGCAAGTGAGGAAGCGGAAAAGGAATACCAAAAATAGTAAAAAGCTATTTGGAATGATTTTTTTTGGCTAGTAACAAAAATAAAACAAATCAATATCAGCTACAGAAATAGTAAAGGAATTGGAAGATATGGTAGAAGTGGTAAGCTTAATGCTAAAATTTTATGTATAAAAACAGTAAAAGGTTGGATTAAAACTTACTTAGAAAAATTATGCCAAATAAGTGCTCAAAATTTATCAAATAGTAATTACTTTATTACAAGCATTATGATATAAAAATATATATAATTATGAATCTGATAAAGAAAATAATAGTATATCTAGTGATTGTTATAGGTGACAGGAAAAAAAAAACTTGTTAAACACAATATGTTGAAAAGTTTTAAAAATTATATAATAATAAATAGTCTCAAATCAGCATTCTTGATGTTTTAAAGTTTTGTATAAGATAATAAATTTTTATTCAAAATCGAATAACTATTTTAATAAATCATTTTAAAAGAAGTTTTTCTATCTAATTTATAATTTTTCGTGATTTTTACAAAAGTTATATATATACTAAATTTTGTGATTTATCGTAATTTATTAATAATATATAAATTATCGACTCTGGTATCACACTATTTGCAAATTCTCCTAATTTTGCGGATTGTCAATTAAGTTAAATTAAAAATAAAGGAATATAAATTAAACAGAAATTAAAATAATAATAAATGAGGCGTGGCGGCTTAGTGAAGCGGTCTAGTCATCACTCTCTCCAAGTGGCAGGTCTAGAGTTCAAATCCCACAGATGACGATTTTGAAAAATAGATTTGTGTTTTGGTAACCTGTATAAGATGATTGGATTAGGATATCTGTAACTTAAGTCACACCAGGGCGTAGTATTCCTGGAAGATCCGCTGACATTCGTATAACTGAGGAAACTCGGGATTACAAAAGAATGCAAACCGGCTTTAGGGTAGTGCAAACTCTCGATAAGTCCAAGATTGTGTAAATCTTAGAAATCTCTTTCGCGTATAGGAACCCGCTTGGGAAGTCCCGAATCAAGATTAGTGGCTAACTTTCAATAGTACTACAGAGTAAAGACTATACTGGGAACTCAACCAGAGGCCCAGCAATCATGACCCTTATAGGCAGAGTTACACCAACCTGGCCATTGGAGGATGAGGGGACTCCACAGGTTAACTGGATTGGAAGAAGGAATGTCTCCGGAGCCAAACTCATGCATCAGAAAATGTCGGTACTGGGGTTGGTTATGAACTTAATAAGGGCAGAAGTAAAGTAATGAAGGACTAATTAGGAAGATTGTACTTGAGATACAGATTGTGTTACGGTAGCATCTCAAAAGATGGCTTGAGATACGAACACAATGATGGCAGACAATATGTACTAATTGGGAAGTAATTACCAAACGAGCATGCACTATCATGTGTGGGACATGTAATGCGATGTCAGGTTTATCTCGAGGATGATCAAGATAGTTCTAAGGTGGGTTGTAATATATATAGTTAAAATCATTGTAAATACTACTAATTCCGATTTAACTATAATAAAATTCACCAACCAAAGAGGTCACCTTAAAGAGAAAAAAAAAATAAATAAAAATAATACATGTATTATAATACATCTTATAAGATCTGATATAATATAAAATCAAAACAAAAAATTAATTTGTTAGTTTAGGGTAAGGGTTAAGTTAGAGCTAGGGGTTAAGGTAAAGTGCTTTAGCAAAAAGGTTTTAACCCAAAATTTTGCAAAGAATTTTTTTTGTTAGAATGTTTTATAAGTGAGATTTTGAGCTACAAGTGTTTTTTTAAAAACATTGCTATTTTTTCAATTTCATATTGCATCTGATTTTATGATCTGATTGGTTAATCAGATGAGTGTATTATAGTACATATGTGCTAAATTATATAAATCTAAATATTAATATTTTCTAGTAAAAAATTAATAAATACTACTTACTATTATAAATTACTAATACAGTCAGACCTCATTATAGTCACTCTCGATATAGTCACAAACTCATTATAATCACCTTTTTTTTTTTACCAAACTAAATTTATATTAAATTAGTCTCACTATAGTCACAATTTTACTATAGTTACTATCACATGGTTTTTATAACAAACCTTAATAAATTTACCTCAATATAATCACAAAAAAATTACAAGCTAACTTTGCTTTCAGAAATATATGCAATTAACATGTATTCCATAATATATACGTATATATAATTATAATAAAGTTATTAAGGCATAACCTCATCTTAAAAAAAAAAAAAAAAAAAATCATTGATCAATAATTAATTAATAAAATTATTCTTAATTAATCAAAAATCAATTATATATACTTAATCAAGTATGATTGATTAAGCATAGAATTTATAGGCTTGAGTATATATAATTAATCAATTATTGAATTAATCATTGATTAATTATATTATGTCTACTCATCCATTATAAAAACAAACTGAGTCACTTTAATAATTTAAATAGCCAGAGTCACCTGAGTAATAGTCACAATCCAGTTGCTACCTGGGTGATCTATTATAATAATACCTTTATAGTTTTTTTTTTTACTATACAAATTTTCTTAATTGATCAAATTTTAACTATTTGATCGATCAATATAATCGATTTTTGATTGACTTACTTTTAATCGAGCCTATAATATTGTTCTCAATTAGCAAGATAATCAACCAATGATCAAGAATTATATAATTGAGACAATTTACTATAAAAGATTAATATTTTTAATTTTCTACATTTTTTTTTTTTAAAAAAAACAACTTACAATATGACTGATAATGATAGTATTATCAATAATAATACTTTTAATGATGAGTAATAATAACTCTTCTCCCAATTTGTAATATTTTATCTTTAAACATAATAATTATAAAAAGATGAGAATTAACAACATGATAGATTATGAAGATCTATTTATGATGAAAAAACAATATTATATCACTAATTATACTATGGATTCTAAATATGAAAGAGTGTAAAAAGCATTTACAAGCAAAATGAAAAAAGTAGGGTGGATGGGAAGGGGAAAAAAAATAAGTAGAGTAATGAATAAAGAAAAGAATATTAAATTAAATAAAATTTTAATCTACCTATAAGTTAACTTTCTCTAGAAAATCATCTAGTAGAATGTCTATATTGTTGTTATTTAATGAAAAATAATAACAAAGGTAAAAAAAAAAAAAAAATTGTGCAATTTCTCGGACTCAACTCTGGTGTATTAGATATAATATACCTCTTTGTTTCTCTAATGTGTAACCTAATTGTTTTAAAGATTTTTATAGTAAAATATGAATAAATTTATTAAATATTTGTTTTTTTATTGTTTTTTACTGATTTTGGAATTGATTTATTATATATTAATCATAATTAAATTATGTAAAAATGATTTTATAAAATTAGAACAAATTTGCCCTAAATTTACATATGGACTAAGGGATAGTTAGATTTATTCAATAATTAATATATATTAAAAATATTAAGCAAAAATTTTTAAAACTTTGTACAAATTAAAAATTTAAACTATTATATACTATACTTAATTTTTATTTTAAATTTTGATTATATTTTAACTTTAATTTAGCAATAAATATTATAAAAATAAAATTAAAAATTAAAAATTTAAGTATAAATATTAGTTTTTTTAAAAAATAATTACTAGTAATAGTTTGTAACTATTTTATTTACTATACTTTAATTTAAAATTAAAAATAAATTAGATTTAAAAATAAGTTATTAAAAGTAATAGACTAAAGACAGTATATTTAAAAATTATTACATACTTATGTAATTCTTTTATTTATTAAATATCTATAAATTTGCAATAAGTTATTAGAAAAATAGAATAAAAATTTAATAGTTAAAAAATAAAAATATTTAATATACATTATTCAGATAAATCTACTACAGAAGCTAAAAATTCTATTGCCACGCGTCGTGATCTATTAAAAGAAATTGATTCTTTATAAATTATTGAAAGTGATAATTTAAGAATCACCTATTTTTAACATCGTTATTCTCATCGCTAGATAAATCAATCATATCCATATCAAATTTTTTTTTAAATTCAGTTGAATCCCAATCTTTATCATCCAACAAATTAGCAGAATCAATCCAAACATAAGTTTGGGCCGGTATAGGATCCAAAGAATCGCCAACAAATACTTTAACATCCATTCTTTTATATTGCTACAAATTGAATTAGTTAATAAATGTAATTTTTTTATTAATAAAATTATAAAAATGAATAAGCATATATTAATAGAGAAAATCTTACATCACCCTCGAAATCATCGAGTTTCAAAATATCATTATAGGAAAGACCTTTAAGAAAAACACCTTTTGCTTCATCATTTTCATTACTTTTTATTATGGCCGGATACCAAGCACCACGAACTTGATAACGTTTATATCCCTTGATAATGAGTAGGTGAGAAAAGTTAAAATTTATGTCATGGTGAATAATGCAGGATCTCTAATAGTGCTTATCGTTAAATTCACAACATTATAATTATCGCTGTTTTCGAAATCAAAAAAAATAAAATTCTTGCGAATACCCGAACACTTGAATACCCGATTAGTTTAGAACATTGATCACATTGATCGATTGCCAACTATGAAATAGTAATTATTATATTAAACAATTACTCGCTTAATTTATCATTAAATAAAGATAGCTGAAATCGAACTTTGATCAATGTGATTAATGTGGTCAATGTTCTAAACTAATCGGGTATTCAAGTGTTCGGGTATTCGCAAGAATTTTATTTTTTTTTGAAAATATTGCTATTCTCAACCATTTCGAAAACAGCGATAATATGAAACATTCATAATAATTATAAATATAAAATTTTAAATAAAAGTATAAGTATAAATTAAAACTTTACAATTATTATAAATATTTGTAATTATTGTAATTAAAACAAAACTTCATAACATTTATGCAATATTTCGTAAAAATTATGAATATTCGTAATCATTATTAATATTCATATATTTACAAATAAAATTACCCTCTAACGCTAAGTGCACTACCGAGATCATGATAATTAGACAAAAACAGCGTATTTGGAGATATAATTTTAGAGATGGCTCACTAGTACATTCATTACCTTCAAAACAGCTGGAGCACCAGAATTAAGATCAACGGTGATTTTTTCTTTACCACCATTACTAAGTATGCGGCCAATAACTTCAGGAAAAATCAGAGTACCATAAAGGAAACAAGAAAAATCGGTTGACATTTTTTTTTAACTGATAAAGGGAAAAAGGTAATAATGGAAACGGAGTATAAGATACGATAAAGTTGAATAGTTACATGGTAGCACTTGATCCTTTTTTGTGATTAAAGGAATTCACATGTTATTGAACCGGGATAAAGTGATCGTCTTTTTGATAGAGTTATACATTGTTTGATCAGTATTCTAACTGGGGGGCAATGATTTCTGCGGTGATATTTATTATTCATTTTAAGCCGCAGAAATCCTCAGCATAATTGGATTAATTTTATTGGATGCTGCTTGAAGATTAATTCTCTAAAGCTAAATTTTGATCTTTTAACGTTAACGTTAAAGGTTATTTATTACACCATATCGATATATGATCAATTTTAAGATTGGGTAGTGGGATATATATATTTTCGGTAATGCATGATAAAAATCTGCAGATTTTTTTTTAACAACTGCCTAATTAATTTCGATGTTTAAAGATTTCTTAAATTAGTTTTGAGCTACTACGTACGTATAATTAATTATACGTATGTATTCTGAATTTAAATAAAGACTTGATGGCATGACCTTGTCCTGGTTTGAAAAATCATAACTTTATTTCAGTGTTCCCATATTCGGAATAAATTTGAATAAAATTATGGTGCAGGACATGCTATTACATCATTTCAGCATTTTTTTCACTGATACATCGTTATTGCATCTGCCTTTGAAAACATCATAAGTTAGTGCATACAAGTTGCGACATCATATGTAATAGTTAAAAGATTGTTTAACGGTAAGAATTTAATAAGCAATTCAAAAGACGTATTTGAGACATATTTGAGTATATATCATAGTTACTATTGTCGTTACGATATGTGTTAGTCTGTTTGTTTTTATTTTAATAAATAAATTTAAGGATTACACATTAATTATTTAGTACTTTCTGATATAAAATCAATTTAGCATACATCAATATATGATAAGTTTTGACGTGCTTTAAAGCATTTTTAATGATGTAATTTTTTATGATACGTTTCACGTTTGATACATAGTTTAATAGTTATACGTACATACGTATAACTTGCAAAATGTCTCGGAGTATCTCTTAAAAAAATCGGAAACAAATTTGGCATTTCTCTTGGCAATCAATGCTCCTGCATATTAATCTATATATACTATTATTTTATTTCCTATGAATAGTAAACGAAGTTTAAAAATATACGTTTAGTTATTTTTAATATTTACAATGATACCAAATAATTCATCTTATCTTGTTGAATCATTTAAAAAAATTTTCTTATACTATAATGGGTAATAAATATTACAATTCGGAACGTTACGAAATAAAACAATTCAATCTATGTAACAAAGTGAAAAATGTAACAAAAATGAGCAAGCGTTAAAAAAAAAATTTAAATAAATAAAATAAAAAGGGCAAAAAAAATTCTTGTAAACAAATTCTGAATTGTCATTTCATTTAATTTATGTATTAATTGTTTAATAATAATCAAAACAAGTTATGAATAAAATTTTCCGGCTTTTCAGAAAGGTAAATACTGTAATTGTGATACTTTACTTACTTTTATTCTCTCGGTGAATCTTTGCCAATATAAAATTTTCATGTAAATTTTCATGTAAATTTTCATGAAATCATTTAGAAAAAGAAAAAGAAAGATGAACGTTCTAATAAAGTAGAATTGGTAAAGCAGTTTGAAACAAGCGAAACTGAAACTTTAGTTAATAGAGTAGACCATGGTTCTGAAACCTATAAGAATTTTGATCACCAAAGATTTTCAAGCTATCCGACTCCCTCAAGGAAACGTAATCTTAATCAATTACCAAAGATTATAACTGACCCAACGCAACTTGCCATAATTAGTGATTATAATAGAAGAAATACTTATAATGCCTTCAATCATAATAACCATAATAACAGACATTCATCTTACAATCATAGTAACAGTTATTCATCTTACAATCATAATTACAGACATTCGTCTTTTCATCAAGATGGCTTTGATATCGAAAAGTTGATAGACATAAGAAAATCCATCATTAATCAAAAAGTAAAACCTATGCAAATTTCTTCAGGAATTTGTCCAAATTGTAATAATCCTATTGCTGAATTTGGTTACTATACTAAATGGTGTTTACAATGTCAATCAAACCTTTTCAAGGATAAATTTGGTTCTTGGTCAAGTGATTATGATGTTATTGATACTTTTATTCAAGAAACTCAACTTACTTCCCAAAGTAGATTTGATTTCTTAGAATGGATACCTTATAAAAAATTTAAAAATATTAAACAGCTTAGATCTAGCGATTACAGTTGCGATTACAGAGCGTTATGGCTTGATGGTCCATATGAAAAATGGGACGTGGATACGGCTCAATATGTAAGATGTGGTAAACGGAGAGTTACATTAAAATCTTTTGGTAATTCCATAAACATAAGTAAAGATTTCTTCTCCCATGTAAGTACTGTATATGCGCGCTTCATTATTACATTTTGATTATAATATTATATAAGCTAAAAAAAAAATTCTTTTATTTTTCATAATTTTTATAATTTTTATAATTTTTATTTTTTATATTTTAGCTGAGAAAATATTTACATTCTGAAATTAATAATGGTTTATATATCGCTCGATATTACGGAATAACGCGTGATCCCTCCACTGAAAATTACATGATGGTTGTGCAATATGCAAGCGACGGTGATTTAAGAAATTATTATGAACAAAATTCTGCTTCATTAACTTGGCAAAAACGATTAGACATTTTACATGCCATTACAGCTGCTCTCACTCGCATGCACAAGAACAACATTGTTCACCAAAATTTACATAGTGGCAAAGTACTTATACATTCATCAACAATACTCTTGAGCGATCTAGGTTTTTATAAACTACAATTTAATAGTAATGAAGGACTATATTGCAATTTATCTTTCACTGCTCCTGAGACCTTACGAAATAATCTAATCACCAAAGAATCAAACATTTATAGTTTTGGTTTGATAATGTGGGAATTGGCCTATTGCAAAAAACCTTTTTCTGACCGTCCTCATGATTTAAGTTTGGCTATTGATATTTGTGATGGTGTTCTTCCGGAATTCAATTGTGATCTTCCAGAATGCTACATTAATATCGTGAAACAATGTTTAAACCTTGATCCTCTCATGAGACCTACTGCTGATCAACTTTACAAAACACTTGGTAAATGGTTGTGTTTATTATTAAACGTTACCACCTCTGATATTGCTAAAGAATTTCATGAAGCAAATGAAAGACTAACGCTTTTTGATAATAAGTTTGAAGTTCACCCGGAAGCTACATACAATAGTAGATTTTACAATTTCAAAGGATTTGATTCGTCACAGAAAACCCTTTCTTTAAATAGCCATAAATTATGAATAAGAATTACTTATTCAAAATTTTTACGTCACTGGTACATACGTACAGTACATAACTTACGCGTATCACTATCTCTGCTTCAGACCTAGAGATTGGAACTGATTAATTATTAACCGATTAGCCGATCAATATTTAATGAATCGGGTAAAAAAAATTATAAACGGTTAGAAAGCGGTTAATAATAAGTATAGCAGATTAAAGCAAAAGTTACATAATACAGTATATAATTCTATATACTGTTTATAAAATTATTCCATTTTCGAATTTCGAGCATTCTATTGGCACATTAATTCAGGAGTTTGTATTCTGGAATTCACTTTTACCATGTTAGAATCTTTAGGTTTACATAATTATTATAAAGGTACCGGAATAGATTCATGCTTTTATTGATTGAATGTAAAAAATAGAATGTACTCTAGAATAATATTACAATATAGGACTGATATCAATATAAAGAAATTTCTTAATTTTGACTGAGATCAATTTATATTTTTTTAAATAAGTCCTAACAATTTTGTTTTACACATACAGTATATATTACAACCCTTTTCATAGGGTGTTCTCAAGCGCGCTTTAGTCGATTAGTCGGAATAGATAGGTCGGGAAGCAAATTTTAATTATATAGTAAAAAAATGGGGTTTCCGAATCATTTGTATTCAGACTTCGCCAACTTTCACATAAAACTAGCTGACTCAACTTTTTCCGAATCCTTTACTACAAATGTTGAATGTGAAAAATTTTTAAATATTGATGTAATATTTTTAGGTTTCGCTTTTAGCTTTGGTTAACGTTGTGCTATTACATCTTGTGAAGAATGAATGGAATGGTTGTATTTAGTGTTTCTTTATTCGTAGTGAAAATTTTTAGCATGGTAATCCATCAATGAAAAATTTTAACCAATCAGCGCAACTCTGCGAAAAGGATCTATTTCTTGTCAATTGCTTTTGACGGTCTTCTTCCGTTAATTAAATTTTTCTCTATGACGTATTAAACTATTGTAGCTCTACATCATTCATCGGAATTAAAAAGACGAAAAAGGAACTGGAATTGCTGACATGTAGAGTTTGTTATTTTTCACGTGGTCTCTAATTAGATGAAATGCTACGCCACTATTGAAATGATCTACGAAACAATAGCCAATCACAAAGTCCGTTATGCTAGGCCAAAGTTGCGACTCGCACTACCTTTAAATTCACAATTTACAATCAATAGATAAGGAGTGAAAAATTCGACTCACTTCCGTTAAAGTGAACTCTAAAAATATAAACATGTGTGTATTCTCTCGATATAATCAATAGTGAACCTCACTATAATGGGTAATGTATGCTAACAATGGGAAATAAATAATGATACAAAATAAATCAAAAGAATAAATAAAAATACAGCTACTATAAACAAAAAGCTCCCTATAATATGGTTTTTAAAAGCAAAAATTGAAAATATAATATCATGTAACCCTTACACTCAATGCCCACTTATCTATTCAAATTTACATAAATTCCAATACTTGCCGCAAACCAGAATATTTCTTCGGAGATTCAAGTCCTCTTTATGAGTTTTGTTTAATGCTATAAACAAAGTCCTTTTCATCTTCGAGAAGTCCTGTGATGGCATAAAGTTATTATCCTTGAAATTTTTATAGTATTTGACAATTGTTTTATAAAGATATGGAAGAGAAAGGAAAGACAATTGTAGATCTGGGTTAGCCTCATTAAGCAAGATAGAGTTTACGAGGTGAACAGTGGCTGAATTGGCTTTAACAAAGGTAAAGGTAAATTTGTCGTTATCCTGTTTTTTGAGACCTGATTGGTTTGCCCACCAATCAAACCGATTGTCAAATTCTCTAAAATCAAAAGGTTTGTCAAATTCACTTTCTGGTCTTAATTTAGAGGGTTCTTTGAAACCAACATATTCTGGAATTGGTGGTGGGTGAGAAACATTTTTAAAAATTGATCGATGTTTAAACCCAAGAAATTTATCTAAAGCTTCAAATCCAACACCTTCTCGAAATCCAGAAGCGCAAAGAACCACTGCTAACTTTGGAGAGATGACATAAAACCAATGGAAGGCTATTTGACGTGGTCCACCAAAACCTCCCACTTGAATAGGTACATCATAATTTATACCTTCAAAAAGTCCAAATGAGTTACTGGTCATAATAAATTCATCATTTTCACCAGCTTGCCAAATTGCGAGGAAACAATCGATCATACGAAGCCTGTAATCCATTCTATCTACAACGAATATTCGTGTGTTGTCTTTGACATCTTCATGTGGGGTATCTATTATTTCTCGAACGTTCTGTAACCACACTTCTTGCGAACTTTGTAAATTATGCTCCTGCATAAAATTTTCTACCATTGACCCAGTAACAATATCAAACCTCTTATCTGCAAACTGATTTCTTCTAGAAGGTTTTCGGTAGTCCATGATAAAGAGGAACTTGCGTAAGTCAGCCAGATCTTTCCTAAGCAAAACAATTTGACTTTTCATTTGAGATGTCTCGATAATGTCTCTGACTACTTTTGATGCTTTCTCTTCGAGAATTGATAATTTCTTTTCCACACGCATTGCATCATTATGATTAAGATCTTTGTACATGTTTATGTCTCCATAAATTCTCGCAATTAAAGAGATACATAATTGATCATTGGCTCTATCATAAATTTGGAGAGATTCTCCTTTCTTTTTTGACTTCCAAAATTTTTGTTTCTGAGTGAATAGCTTCCTATTACTCGAGAATATCCTCTCATAATTGTCAATAGCAAAATTACGTAGAATGAATCTTGGGATATAATGATGGTATTCATCTTTTTGCATTATTGCTACGTATACAATGTAGAGAAAAGAAATTCGGCTGGCTCTTTATTCATATATCATTAACATGTATATAAGCATGATTAAAAATCCATTTGATTGGCTAAAAATTTGATCTTCGTCAAATTAAAATTTAAATTTTGATTGGCTCATATCGAAAATATAACATCCTTCCGGCATAGATTTACACATTCATAAAAATTATATTTAAAAGTTTACGCGTTTTTTATTTTTTTTTTATTTTTGATCATTTCGATCATTTCAATCTCGTCAAGTAGTATTAATAACGCGAATAATTGGTTTAAATAAAAATTATGTCAAATAATAAGCGTGCCAAATATAGTAATTTTCAAAAAACTCGCGATAAAATGCCGAAGAGCAAAATTAATCATGGCCCCTGTTCTATCTATAATTGTGATAAAAGCTCTAATGATTTTCGATGTTTAAGTAACTTGGCTATAAGAAAAGCATCCGCTAAAGGAAATCTTCGCTTGTATCCTTATTTGCAACCCGGTTATCAAATTTGTAGTCCACATTATACGGCTATTGTTGAAAATCAATTACCTGAACCAACATCTGCGCCCGCACAAGCATTTATTCCAACAACATTACCAGTTAAACCATCAATTGGTGATCAAATTAAACAAATGACTAGCGTGTTATATACAAAAAGACATGATAATGTGATACTTGACCCTAATGAATTCGATAAAATGCTTGAGGAAACTGACCCTAATTTAACCAATTTTTTTGCTGATATGTGTGCTATATTAATACCGCAGGACCGCTCACCTTATAATAAAAAAGAAGATCGAAAAAAAATTGTCGCGATCTTATACTTAATGGCGGGAATACAGGACCCCGGATAATACTAATAAGGGTAGTATTATTAAACCGGACAAGAATTCTTAAATTATTTTTAGAAGTTATATTACTAAAAAGGCTTTTTGAATAAATCTAGTATTATAAAACCGGGATTAGTAAAATAAGGTTGTGTACCTAAAAGTGGATACATTTTTATTGAAACAAATATCTAATATTTTAAAAAAATCCATATCTGATTTAATAATCGAGGGTATTATTTCAAATTTTGGCCCGCATTAAGCTTAATGTAGGCAAAATTACATCTGGGCATCAAATTCTCTTATGATTGGCTAGATAATTTGTAATAAATATTCAAATTTCGCTATCTTGAAACTTTATTTGTTAGTAAAGTTTCACGACTTGCCATAGTAGTATCAAAAGCTTTTCTGTGGAAGTTTTGTGGCCAGAAGTTTTTCTGCAGCCAAGGCGTTGTTGCGAACAAAAATTATGAGTGATTAAAGGTTTAGCAGTAAAGAATTTCGTATAATTAAAGTTTCGCCTTAATAAGAAACCTTCTGGAGCTAAGAAGCTTGCCAGAGTCAAAAATCAAAACTCTGTATTTAGAGCTTTCACCGTAGTCAGAAGCTTCGCCGTAGTTAAAAAAAAAAAAAAAGAAAAAAGAAAAGAAAAAAAAAAAAAAGATTTGTAATCAAAGGATTCTGTAGTTAAATAGACAACTTATTGTTGCAGTTAAATTTTCTTGATGGATTTAGAATTATTGCTTACTCCAACTGAATTTTCACAGTCTGATAATGAATTGCCAAACTATTATAAAACATCCGATGACTATGAAACAACAGATGATGAGCATTTAAATAATGAATCGGTTGTTTCTCAAGAACATGTATCTAAAAAAAAACGAAATTGTGGAATGAATTTAAAAACTACTTTAGAAAAGGTAAGAATAGTATCAAATATGTTATTTATATTAATATCTATCTAATTTAATTTTATATTTTAGCAAGCAGAGTTGGCCAATCATCCAGATGTACTTGAAATTTTGAGTCACTATGTGTACAATGCAAACATTGCAGAAAACCAATTAAACTAAGAAGAAACTATGATAAGTCACGAATTGAATCTCATGTGTCTAATAACAAATGTATTAAGAACAAGATTTGAGGAAATTCTTCGCAGATTCTAATTCTCAAGATGAACCATCACATAAAAGATATCCGTGTTCTGGATTATGTAAAGAGAAGCATCTTAAATATATTGAACGAGTTGGTGGTTTTGCAGTATCCGGTGGAGCTCCACTTGTCAAAATAGTAGCACAAGAACTTTTCCCAGACAAGTTTACAGAAAATACAAAATTTTCTTATTCTAAACTTAGTTCCAATCAATCAAAAAGACTTAATGATGAACTATCGACAAGGTCTAAGTGGAAGATTGATCAAAAATGTTTATGCATACATAGTTCAGTGTGTGAAATATATACTGACCAAATTGAACGATTATGCGCGAAATGTATCTTACTTACAAAGGATCCAGTTTTTAAGATAAATTTTAATTATTTGACTCTTTTTTTTTTTTTTGATTTATATTCATATTTATTTATTAATTATATATCTTCTAGAATGCACTTTCTAAACCCATGCCGAAACCAGAAAATCGACGCTTCACACCAAAATTTTATTTTAGAAATAATCTGATTTTGAAATTTCTTGGAAATCTACATATAAAAGAACTCTGGACTTCAATTTCTAATACCAATGAAAATAACTCAGTGCCATTTTGGTTAAAATTAGCTGAGAAAAGTTTAAATGGAGCATTTGAATCAAAAACTACATTTAAAGGACTATGTGAAATAATGATGCAAATAGCTCAACGTGAAGATTATAGCAAAGGCATTCAAAATTTAAAATATTCTGAAGATGTTACCCATTTTACGGCTGTACTTTCCAGCCTAAGCCCAAAAGCATATGATTTTTTTCGAGCCAATTTGGCAGGACAAACATTACGAAACATTAGGTATTAAATTGTTATTTTATTTATGATATTAAAATTTTTAAGGTCGTAGATTATATAATATATAATTAAAATGTTTCTTATATAGGCTCTTGCATCAAAATCTGGCGAATGTATGTCTGACACAAGTATATGTTTAGAAAATATGGCATGCTTTAAAAGATTAGCCGATTCTATGAACTATAAAGGGCCAGTTATTGCAATGACAGATAATACTAAAGTTTATCCCCGTCTTGGCTATTTCGCAAATCTTGGATGTATTATTGGTTCTGTTTTTTCGCTTGACCAAACAATGGTTAATGATTATAATGAAGCAGAATCAGTTATTCAAAATATAATTTCGAACAATGCAATAGCAAAGCAAGTTCGTTTGTATTTACTTCAAGTAAGTATTTATAGAGCTTTGAATTTATAATTTACTAAACTCAGTTTTTAAATAATAGTTTGGTGAATTATAAATAAAAATATGTAAAGTTTAGTTTTTTTGGCCATTACTTATTTACTTCCTCTATTTTATTTATTTATTTATTTATTTATTTTATTTTTATTTATTTATCTATTTTTATTTTTTAAAAAAATAATTAAACTAATTTTCAAATTTAAGATACCTTTACCAAAATTTCCACCAGTCGTAATCGGGTTGGTTCCAAATAATGGAAATGAAACATCTACACAAATATTAAAAATGCATGAAAAAGTGCTGGAGTTAGCTCGACAACTTTCGATTCACATAGTTCTATAGGAGCCGACGGTGCTATTTCAGAATTTAATACTCAAAAGCATTTAATGTCTAAAAATACTGGACTGACAAAGAGTTTTAATGATCCAATATATAATATAAACTTCACTTGTTCAATTTTTCCTGGAGTAGGACCGGTAATTCAAGTTTCTGATCCATTACATGCCCGAAAATCTGCACGAAATGCACTATTTTCTGGAGCACAATTATTTACTTTGGGACATTATATAGCAACGTATGATCAAGTGTTAGATATGTGTGAACAAGATGATAGTGTTTTGTATAAAAAGAATGTTATTAATTGTGATCGCCAAGATGATGGCGCTAGCTATCGTCTTTTCTGTTCTTCACTTCTTAATCAAGTTATAAATTCAAATACTTCTAAAACTATTCGATATGGACTTTTTGTTTATTTGTTTGTAATTGGTAAGTTACTAATGTATTCATATTAATATTTTAACAATTTGTTAAAATTTAAAAAAACTTAATATTTGGTTAGGCGAGTTAATTGACGCATATCAAAACAGAACGATTTCACATTTAGAAAGAGCTCGAATGGCTATGATGGCATATTTTTTTATTATCATTTAGAAATCATATATTGCATCGGTTGGATTAGCTAATCCTAATTATATTAGTCTTGAAAAAAATTTTCTTGCAACACAAACATTTAATATTTTGACAAGTTTAGCAAAATCATTAGTAAGAATAATAAATATGTATTTGCTAATTTTCTGAAGTTTACAAAATATTACTGTATTAATGCTTTAATTTATTGTTAGATTTTCCTAATTATATCATATCGTGATTTTTATAATTCATATCCATTATTACCATGGCTTCACGGATCTGAAGGATGCGAGCACTTTTTTGGGTTGTGTCGACAAATTAATAATGAATTTACATTTTCCGATTTACTATACATGGTTCCAAAAGTATCATATATGTATAAGGCATATATGAATGGCACTTTAAATAAAGTGATTAAAGATAAAACTTCTGGTGTTGGTAAGTATAAAGCTAGCAAAGTAATAGCGCAAAAATTTGGCAGTCCCATGATTTTTGAGACTAGATCTAAATCGGGCCTATATATAACTTTTATCTAATTGAAAAAGTTTAAGAATATAATAATGATATCAAATCTTAATAGCCCAATTACAAGTCCTCAGTTTAGTGTATAATGTTTTTGGCTTATTTGTTTCAGAGATCACAAGATCGCCGAATTTCATGCTATTGTTTTGCTACTTGTATAATTTAAATATTATTTTATTAATTATAATTAAATCTTTAATTTATTTTATTAGGCTATATTACACATTATAATACTGGAACGCTTGCAGAAACAATTAACATATTACGTCAATGGCCTTCAGATGAAGATTTGCTTTGTGCTGTTCATGAGAGGTATCAACAAGCTTGTGATTTGGCAAAAGTTCTTTCAATAGTTAATCAGAATGAAGAAGTTTATGGTTTTTTAAATATTTCTAATGGGCAATCGAACCAGTCAGATGATGAAAATGATGATTTTTTTGACTATTTTAATGATTCGATCCAAAGCAATGAAATATCAGATTCACATGCAATTGCTATGGCAGCAAACACTGTAGCTGATTCTAATACTATAGAGATCCGTGATGATGATATTGAAAATGATTTAAGAGATGCACGTTTTGAGTTAACTTTTTATTGTCAGATGCAAATTTTTCAAATATTCACGATTTAGAGACATGTGAAAACTTTTATACTGGCATTACCGAAGCAGGAACTTTAGATATTTCTTACTTAGTTAACTTACGAAAAAATCATAAATGTTATAGTAACCAGGATATGGAGCGAAAGACTATTTGTAGAATTCAGAATTTTAATCATATAAATGCTGTTTCTCCAAATATAATAAGTAGTCTAATTGCAAATCGTATATCAAATATTGAAATATCACGGACTGAGAAATTACGTGAAATTCGATGGAAAAATCGTTGTCGTCTATCTGTATTATCAAGTACAAATAAAAAAGTTGGTGAGTAATAAATTATGAGTAATAAATTATAAAAATAGTTCTAATGCTTATTTAATAAATTATTTTAAAATTTAGATCTAAACGGAATAACTGTTGCTAATATCGGTGAACATAATCCTCTTCGCAAGCATGGTTATGGATTTTCTTATATTAATCACAAAATTTGTCTTGTACAAATTTTAGCACTATATCAGAAGAATTCTAATTATCATTCTTATATGCGTGATGATGTGTTTAATATAGATTCATTATCTTACTTATCGGTAAAGGTTTTTTTCCCACTTCGAAATAATATTTTTTCGCCTCTAGCTAATTCTGGACATATGGTTTTTAGTTATATTAATGCTAAGTTTTTCATTTATTTTCTTGGATTTGGTGATTTTATTCATGTTGATGAGCAGCATAATTTGATAACTCTTTTTGGGAAAGCTTTAGAGTTATATAGGTTTTTTAATGAATGCTCTACGAAGAATTTGTTACGAATTATTGTTCATTCTGAAGTAGAAAAGGATTAGATTTAATGAATAATGTGTAATAAATCAATAGAATGATTCTCCATGCCGATTCTGCTATTGTGGCAGATTTTGATAGTTTAGCATGGGTTCGAAATATACTTTTTTTGATTATTATGTCAGTTTAATTTAATTATTTGCTAATCGATGCACTTAATTTAAAGTAAGCTATTACCTCACATTTAATTTTTTATTCATGGCCATTTTATCAAATTTTTTTTAAAAAAAATTTATCAATCGAAGTAGTTAAAATACTCATCTAATTTTACTTGAATTAATTCAAACGACTATGTAACGATCGGCATGAGATTTTATAAGGATTTATAAATTTTTTAAAATTTAATTTGAATCTGCAAATTTATTTTTACAATAAAAATTTTAAAATGGTTAATTAAATAGTACTTATAATCACATTTTATTTCAATGCATATAAAAATAATTATATTAACAGCTAAATTTTATGTTATTAACAAATAATTATTATGCTCAAGCATCTCAATCAATTAATTAAATAATGATAATGATAATGCTCAAGCATCACAATCAATGACGACATTTATAGAATTAAATGCTTGAGCGTACTCTTTCTATTTTTCATAAGCCTCCTAAAAAACCTAATAGAAAAAATTTTTATTCAACCTAGCTGCCAAAACTTTAGTTTTATTGGCTTCATCTTTTAATGATTTTACCAATTAAAATTTTGTTGTAACAGTAACAGAATCAACTTATGGAGTCATTTAGTGAAAATTCCTTTGCAGAAACAAGAAGTAAATTTTTAAAAAAAATTTTTTATAGGCAATCTATAGTAATTCTGCAGTTGCTATTTCACACTGATAGGTAATACGAAAATATATTCGAAAAAAGTTATAATATTTATTATTTGTTAAATATAGAAAAATATATACCCAAAATCCTTCAGTTTTTGGATCGTCTTCGCTGAAAAATTTTTAAATTTAGGTAAACGAAAAACGAAAAAGTAGTATTTATTATAGTTTGATTAAAGTTAAAAGATGAGTTGCATTTATTATGTTCATATCAATGTATCGATTATTTGCTTTAAAAGCTTTGAGTATAAAATTAAAGTAGCTATTTTTTTTTTAAATCGGTTAGAAATTTGTTGAGAATTCATGTAAAAAATATAAAATTAATGCTTGAGCGACCTTTATCAATAGTAAATTTTTGAAGAAAAAAGGTGGCTAGTAGCTTATTGATCTGTTCATCGAAATGGCAGCTTACTTGGTTAATTTATTCAATTTCTGACCATTAAAAATTTGCTTCCGATTTATTGAGGTGTTTAAGAACTATGTTCGAATCTCTATTAAATTTGTAGTTCAAAAATAGAATAGATAAAAAAAACTATAAATCTCTGTCATGTAAAAAGTATTTACGTAATTTTGTAGCACACTAACAGCTAAGACTAATTTTCATAGCACAATACTTTTTGAAAAAATGTGCATTAGGTTATGTAATTAAATCGGGCATATAAATTGTAAATCAAAATGTACAGAGCTTAAAATAGGCAAAAATAGGATGTTTAGAGTGGACAAAATACCTGAAAATTTACTATTAACTCAACTCGTACCTCTATTAGTATTATCCGGGGTCCTGGCCAGGTACATCGCGAAATTGCCCGATGATCGACGATCATCGGACAATCACGGGATACGTGTTTGTTTACATTTTGGTATTAACAGTTAATGTTGGTGTTAATGTTGGTACCAACGCCGGTACCAACGTTAATACCAACGTTAACCAACGTTAATACCAACATGGGGTTAATACTGTAGATCAATTGTATAGCATAATTTGTTAATAATAATAAAGTTAGTAAATACAATAAATAACTTATGACAGTAATAAAAAATAGGGTTAAAAAACTGTGCGAACTCAATTACTAATTTTCTTCACTTCGTTTTGTGTATTTTGGGCTTTTTCATGTACTCTGTTCGTACGAAGTTTATTAACATTTGCATAGTATTGAACGTTGATGTTAACGTTCGTACAAACGTCGATATTTGATCAGTTAACGTTTGATGTTAACAGTTAATATTTGTACGATTAACGTTCGTATGAACGTTGATGTTAACGTTCGTACGAACGTTGATGTTAACGTTCGTATGAACGTTGATGTTAACGTTCGTATGAACGTTGATTTTAACATTCGTATGACGTTGATGTTAACGTTCGTATGAACGTTGATGTTAACGGTCGTGCGAACGTTGATGTATGAATGTTAATATTTACGTTTACATGAACGTTAATATCAACGTTCATACGAATGTTAATATTAATGTTTGCATGAACGTTAATATCAACGTTCATATTAAGGTTTACATGAACGTTAACATCAATGTTCATACAATTTACTAATTGCAAATCGGGATGAATAAAGTGTTTTTTAAAACTTCTAGAGAATATTTCTCAATAGCTGCTTTATCAAATTCGGTAATATATATATATATTTTAATTCTATAATTTAGTAGGATTGAAATAAAAAAAAGTTCATTGAGTTATATTTAATAGTTAGCGAGAAACCATCGCTAAAAGTTTTAAAAAAAACTAAAATAAAATCGAGTAAAATATTCTTTGAACTTTAAACGAAGATTTTTCGACAACCTACTAACCAATTTGATGAAAAAAAATTTATTTTAATTCTACGAATTCATAAAATTAAAAAAAATTTAAATAAATTTGGATAGCTGGTTATAATTAGAAGTTAAAAAAAATTTGGCGCAGCTCTTTTTTCATGGACGCCTAAACTTTGAACAAAGATTACTCGGCACCTACCTGATCAAATTTGTTCAAATTTTTTTTATTTAATTCTATGAATATATAGAATTAAAACAAAAAAAGTTTTATCGAATTTGATCGGATAAATGCCGAGTAATCTTAATTCAAAGTTTAGGCATCCATAAAAAAAGTGCTGCGGCCAATTTTTTTTAACTTTCAATTAATATTTCTTGATAACCAGCTATCCAAATTCAATCAAACTTTTTTTGTTTTAATTATATGAATTCTTAGAATTAAAATAAAAAAAATTTCATCAAATTCGGTTAGCAGGCTGTCGAGAAGCTTTGTTTAAAGGTCAAAGAAAGAAAATTTTACCCGATTTTTTTTTTCTGAGATATTTCAAGTTTTTTAAAACTTTTAGCGATGGTTTCTCGTTAACTACTAAATATAATTCAATGAACTTTTTTTTATTTCAATCATACTAAACTATATAATTAAAATAAAAAAAATTTTACCGAATTTGATAAAGCAGCTATTGAGAAATATTCGCTAGAAGTTTAAAAAAACACTTCGTTTAGAATATATCCCGTGATTGTCCGACGATCATCGGGTAATTTCGTGATGTACCTGGCTTTACATATTCGGTAAAAAAAATCGATCCTCATAATTAATTTCTGATATTTTATAGTCTGATTCCCGATTCTTTTAAATAAGACATGTGCCTATTCCAGGTTATTAGTCAACCAAGGTTTAAATAAACCTAACTTTGGTTTATTCTGAACCCAATCCAGGTTCATTTTGATCCATCCGGGTTCAAATAAATCAATTTAATATAAAATTTTGCGGCTAATGTACGTATATCCGGCGCCTATAATTATCGAATATAGTCATGCATCAAAAACGTTATTGTTTATCACTATGATGCACTTTACTCGTCCACGTTCCGGACAATAATAGCTTGATAATTAATCTTGGTCTAAACTCTCTCCGCTTTAACTTCCTCTTATTAGGCGGGTTGGGTTAGGCACGAACCTAGCATAACCACCACGATCAGTTACGTACAGAGTTGGAATTAATTACTTACCAAAATTTTAATCAGTCATAGTTAATGAATTATAATGCCGATTTTCGTTTATATTGTAACTTAATAACAAATGTCATTTAAAATTTTCTTACCAAATATTTCATTAATGGAATCCAATCGAATTCAAAAAAAATGTTCGTCCTGCCGAATAATGGATCAAATTAATGAATTTGAGATCAATAAAGAAGAAAAGTTAAAGAGCAAATATGAATAATATTCATGAAATGTAAGAAAGTGTTATAGAACCTAAAAAATATTGAAGATGTAGTTTATAAAAAAAGCTTATGGGAGAAAAGAGTGCACGAATGGATCTTAATGCAATTATAAATCTTTCGAATCAAATTGATAAATTAGAAAAATATTGATGAATCACATGCAAACTTAATAGCGATTGAGATTGTAAGGCTCTGTGGGAAAGGTGACGGATACTCTTATGTTTTATCTTATGTTTTATCATATTTAAGAAGCATTATATTAAGCAAACAAAAAGACAATGTTCACTTATTGGTGCAATTGCCACCAAAAGCTTGAAAAAAAGGAAAAAAAGGTTTTAGATAATTATAAACAACATAATACAGAAGCATCTTGTCAATCCTTTAGGAAACATGACGGCTCATTCTTCAAAAAGGTTTGATAAGTTTATTTTTATATTATTGTATATATTAATAACTTTCAATTTAGATTCAATGGAATTCATATTATCCATTAATTGAAATAATATTGTAGAAGATAACGAATCAAGTGAAGAAGATAGCGAATTGGAAATTATATATCAATACAAAAAATTCTTTATGAAGTATAACCTATTTATTGTTTTTATCAAATTAAATTATGCAGCAAATAAATAAAAATATCTAAAGTTGATATCGATACTATTCTGATATAAGCGCTTGACCTTCTTGAAAAGTCTTTAACCTTTCGCAACAAAAAATATGTTTAATCAAATTTCACGCCAATTCAAATGATAGACGATACAAAGAATCTGAACTAAGCAAAGAACCTTTAACACACGGAATAAATACTTTTTATTGATAAACTTAAAAAGTAAAGTAATAATAGTTCACAAAATAAATTTCAAATAACCACTTTTTCTTGACGCAATAAAAATTTATGATATAGTATGTAAAGTAATTATTTACCAAATAAATTTCGAATAAACACTTTTCTTGACGCAATAAAAAATTAAAAT